ACGTCAATCGCACAGACAGGTCCGCCACTTCTTTACAGACAACATCTCATTTTAAAGGTTTACACATCAAGGAATTATTAGAACCATAGGCGTAACTTGCAGATGGGACGGGTGGCACATGTGCCCACCACTTTTTGCCAAAGTTGATTCTGTCCCCACCACTTTCTGAAAGCCGTTGAAAAAATATAGCATGCAGAAGACTTATAACGCAAAGTAAAAGCATCTCCAATCCGTCTTCAGTCATTCTTCATAATTAAATTTATTCATTTGTAACAGTCAGATCAGGTCAGACAGTCAGACAGGCCTGATCTATAAACCTTGTAAACACATATCAGGATTTTAAACAGTAAACAATGTAATTATATGTGCGCAGATGAATTAAATAGAATTCTTTATATTTACACGTTTAGATTAAATATACCACTCTCGTGATTTAAGTTAAGCACACAAATTATATGATATAATTATCAAGAAGCTTAAAAAATCTATACATTTAACGCTGCCTATAAATTAAAATATGGATGCTCCGCTTTTGAAATAGACATACTGTATGTGTTACTGACAGTGGGGCATAAATTGACGGATTATAATTTTAACGCCTCTGATTGACCATTGCGTTCATGAAATCAACAGACATGTCTATGATTGGCTACGTTACTCAACGCTGCAAAAATGCGTTATAAATAGAAACATTTGACGCTTTCCAGAGCGCAAACACAAATGCGCACTGCTCGTTTGCCAAATCTGTTTCGCCAGTATGTTATAATTACAGCTTCAACTGAGGATACTTAGCACCCTTCTAGCACCTCTTGTAAAACCAGGCCTGTAGTGAGGAGCTTGTTTGTGAAAATGTTTCCCTAAATTGTTATACTGCAGAAATCAGAGTCTGAGCACAAAGAAAATATTTTTCATCTGAATAATGATCAGTGATGTGCTCTTGATTCAGAAGATGGCTTAGAAACATGCATACACTGCCTTACCCTTTCGACATCCACTGTACTGCTGCCGCACATGTGTTGCTGGTGTAGTGCGGGTACTCGACTGTACATTAATTCAGTCCTGAATGCAATGACCGTAAAATGCGCACAAATGAGTGAGAACGAACTCTGAAGTCTAATGATGTTCCCTACAAATTAACTTATATATACATATTTCCTGCTTCTACTTTTTCAGCACATCCTTGTAAAGGGAATCAGCGTGCAATGCATGTGCATGTGCTATTTTTGCATTAACTTTAGCTAATAATTAGTAGATAATATTTTTATTTTTTAAATAGATTGTTATTATTTAAACCAGATGTAACCTACCCCGTCCTGTCCCCACCACTTTTTAAGACAAACTTACGCCAATGATTAGAACTATTGACAAATCTGATCAATAAATGTTTAAATGATGTATACTTAACATGAACACTTAGGTCACATCAGTGGCCTTGTAAAAGTTGTATTATTTTACATGGGTGTCGCCAAGTTGAGGTCACATTACCAATTCAACTGGGTTACTGCGTTTAGTTTACATTATGTAAAAGTTTTGAAATTAAGAAAACACTCTATTAATCTATCTAGCAGAAAAAACTGTCAGAAAAAGATTGAAATGGATAAAATAATAAATTATAGTATTTTTGGTATATAATGCATTTTGAGTTGCTCAATCACTTTACAAAAAACCCACAACATGCAAACATTGTTGGGACGAAATCCATATGTCCATTTTATTGACTGATGTCGTGTGAGACTCATGTCCATTGTCTCTGTCTAAGGTTGTTTTGGTGTCCAACTACACACAAACTCTTAACTTACTGCAGGATGTCTGTGATCATATAGGCTATAAATGGTGTCGGCTTGATGGACAAGACACCTGTAGCCCAGCGACAACTAATTGTTGATTCCTTCAACAGCCCACACTCATCCAACTTCCTGTTGCTACTCAGCTCCAAGGCTGGAGGGGTGGGACTAAATCTCATTGGCGCCTCCCATCTTGTTTTATATGACATAGACTGGAACCCTGCCAATGACATACAGGTCAGTGGCCTTCCACAACGTTACAGTTAGTCATGTAGCGCTGCAAAGCAACAATAAAACATATATAATACAGTATTACACACACACACACACAAAAACATCATGCAGCTCAGTGTATTTTGAGATCAGTTAGAAACACATTGCAGTTAGACTACACTCTACTACACACATACTTGTCTTAGTTGCGCCTTTAATACAGACCACTAGATGGCATTAAATACAAAAAACTTAAACCTCTCTTGTAAATCTTGCCATTCTCACTCCCGTATTTATCTGTCTGAATGCTCTGCTTTCATGTGGCACCATCATTTTGTTTTGCTGCCATGACGAATGATCTCTAAAGGCTTTGAGGGATAACACTTGTTTTATAAGTCTCCAATTATCTAAACAATTATTGATACACATCTGTCAGGCCATGGCACGAGTGTGGCGAGATGGACAGAGGAAAACAGTTCACATCTACAGATTTCTTACAACAGGTAACCAAAACATTTGTAAATTACCCATAAAATAAGTATAATCAGCATGTCTGTCAATGGCTAAATTTAGCTGTTTGTTATGACTGTGCAATTAAAAGAAGTACTTGACCTGAAACATCTCACAGCCTTTCATCAATCATAACCCACACAAACAGACTGGCTTTCTTTTCTACCAATAGGCTCTATGTTATGACACATATCACATGATGAGACACATTTATTCTTGGAAGGCTTTCAGATTGATGAATCATGGTTGGAAAAAGCATTTGTTTACAGAATTTGCACATGAGTTTAGGTCTGCAATAATGTGCACGTGTGTCTTGTAGGTTCAATAGAAGAGAAGATTTATTAGAGGCAGGTGAGTAAACAGGGCTTTTCTGGGACAGTGGTGGACCTGTCCAAGAAAGCTGAGCATATTAGCTTTTCTGCTGAGGAGCTACGGGACCTTTTCAGTTTTGACCCAAATACCACCTGCCTCACACACAACCTACTAAACTGCCAATGCACTGGAGATGGAAATACATCAGGTAAATAAATACAAGCAAATTAAATAAAGAAGGAACTAGATCAGGGGTAGGCAACGTCGGTCCTGGAGTGCCGCTGTCCTGTAGAGTTTAGCTCCAACCCTAATCAAACACACCTGAACAAGCTAATTCAGAATTACTAGGGCTACAGGCAGGTGAGGTTTTTTTCAGGGTTGGAGCTAAACCCTGCAGGACATCTGCACTCCAGGACCGACGTTGCCTGTACTAGATGATTCTCTTACCATTAGGGCTGTCAATCAATTCAAAATTTTAATCAGAATAGTTCAAACATATACAGAATAATTAATTGCAATCATTATATATTTTAGATATAGTAGATGGGTATATATAAAGGTTTGGGGTCGTTTTTTAAATAAACACTTTCATTCAGCAAGGATGTATTAAATTGATGAAAAGTGCCAGTGAAGACATTTATAATGTTACAATTCAATTTCAAATAAATGCTGTTCTCTTGAACTTTGCATTCATCAATGAATCCTGAAAAAATGTATCACAGTCTCCACAAAAATATTAAGCACCTGCTTTCAACTGGCTTTGCTATTACTGGAATAAATTAAATTTTATATATATATATATATATATATATATGTATATATATATATATATATATATATATATATATATATATATATATATATATATATATATACATTTTCATTGTCACCATTAGTAACAGAAACACTGACTACAGGAATCAGAAATGACAGAGTGATCACGAAAGCAGTGAGGCACAACAGTCACCATCAGGAAATTAATTTGTCAGTTCCGTGACTCATTAATGAAACAAACCTGAGTGCACGTTCGCTGGCGTTGTTGTTTATTGACCATGTTTCAGGGTTGAAATGGAGCAGTGATAGATCATTCTGCTGTGATATAACGTGTGAGTCACAGATTTTGTATTTCTGTATGCGTTTGTATGTCTGGTGGAGAGTGGGGTTTTGGAGATGGGCGTGTTAGTCAGACACGTGTGTATAAGAAACCTCTTGAGAGCCTAACACTGTCCAGGATGTGATGATGAGATTCTAGCAACTGTTACCAGAGTAACAATACAATGTTTATTGGGTCTGTAGGGATGTGTAAATTTTTTTTTATTATCAGTGTTGGAAGCAGTTGTGGTGCTTAATATTTCTGTGTATGTAAATATGCAGCTGTAATGACCGGCCTTATTGGAAAATGTTACATTTGTAAAAACGGGGTCAGATTATACTATGCGAGAGCTTTGAGTGTTTAAAAGATGAGACAGACAACAATGTTAAAAGTGAAAATCAAATATGTATTTACAATATTCACAAGAGACTTAAAACATCACAAAACTAGAATAACTTAGGCTGTTAAAAGTACAGAGTCTTTCAGTTTCATACCATTAAAACAGTCCTTAAGAAATCCAGTGTGTTGCTAGTCCCAAAGTGAATGTCCCCAAAAGTGTCCAAAAGTCCACTGTAGTGTTAATCCAAAATGCTGGAAAGGTAAGTCCACAAAGGTAACTCCACTATTCCAGTTTGCAGGTGATCACCAATTGGTCGTAATGAGAGCAACGACCATGCTTGTTTGACATGCTGCCTCCTTTATGCTGTCCATTTCCTACTTTCTGTCATGTGATCAGTCACATGACAGGCAGACCCAAACTCATTTAAAGACATACTCACATTAAAATGGTTAAGAGGAATAAAATGGCTAAGACAACATGAAAACCTATTAAAACTCAAATAAACATAAAATAATAAAAAGTATATTGAGCAGGTTAAAACGTGTCCTGTGTGACAGTGTGACATAGTCCCCCCCCCCTTAGTCTATGACTCCCGGGGGAAGGAACTAGCCCTTTAAGGTCCTGTCAGCCATTGTCCCTGTGGTAGGTGTCCTCTTGAATGTGTGATTTAAAATGTCTTTGTAATAAATAAGGTAAAACTAGGCTTTGCCACACAGGCTCTAGTCTGCCGGAGGAATTTAGGCGAACACTAGAGAGAGGTTGAGTCCCATACCAGCCTAGGTGTCCTAAGGTAGGTGGCACCGATCCTCCCAGGATGACTTGCACCCAGCCACGCTGGTCGGCCTGCCCCCCTGGCATTTCCTCCAAACCGGCTTGGGGTCTTTTTGATGGATGATGTTGATGCTGATGAACGGGGATGATGAGGTGGATGATGAGGTGGTTTCTTGGTAGGGTTGATGACAACACACTCCTTGGCCTCCTCACCACACGGCTTGCAGTCCCGGACAAATGCCCAGATATCACTGCGGACTGAGGGCCACCAGGCAACTTCCAGGATCTGCAGAAGGGTCTTTAGACGCCCATGGTGTTTCTCTGCTGTCCTCTGGTGGAAGTGCTGGACCAGGTTCTTAGGAACGTCGAGCTGGATCTTGTAGACGTCGTCCCCCTTCTGGATCCGCCGGTAAAGCAAGCCCTGGTGCTCCTGCACTTCGATCCTGTTGGTCGCTGGAGTGGAGAGAGAGATGGAAAGTCCCTGGAGAGTGCCGTCATCACCCTGCGCGCTGCCGAGTTGCTCTCTGGAGAAGGGGAGGATGGAGAAGCTGTGGTTGAATTCTGGCCCAGCTGGAGTGGTGGCGCAGAATTCTCCATCGGTCGCTCTGTTGGTTGTCCATGAAGTGGTAGATGTGCAGGGATGGTTGTCTGGAGGAAAGCCAGGGGTTGACGTGGGCGGCACTGGGCTGGTCGTCGCAGTGGCAGGAGAGATAGTGGCTTCTGGAGCCTTTGTCTGCTTCAGCTGTTTCGCCCATTTCTTGTCTCTCCTCTTAAAACAGTCAATGACCTCTCTCTCTAGTGTCGCCACGGCATCCTTGATAGATTCCTCCACTTTTTCAAATTTAAAATCCACACCCTCTCTAAAACACACTTCACGGTTAAGATTACTTCCAACAGAGTCTTTAAAATCCTTCTCCAAGTTTAAAACAATGTTTTTAAGAGCAACCAACTCAGCGCGAAGCTGTACACACTCACAGTGATGTAAAACCCGTTCATCATTAAAGCCAGCAGATGTATTAAAAGAAGCAGCATTAACTTGCTTTGTTGTCATCTTAAAACACTCTTCTCAACACAGCGTTAAAATTTTCAAACGTTCCCAGTACGGGCCACCATATTTAACGATCAGCCTTATTGGAAGATGTTACGTTTGTTAAAAAGGGGTCAGATTATACTATGTGAGAGCTTTGAGTGTTTAAAAGATGAGACAGACAACAATGTTAAAAGTGAAAATCAAATATGTATTTACAATATTCACAAGAGACTTAAAACATCACAAAACTAGAATAACTTAGGCTGTTAAAAGTACAGAGTCTTTCAGTTTCATACCATTAAAACAGTCCTTAAGAAATCCAGTGTGTTGCTAGTCCCAAAGTGAATGTCCCCAAAAGTGTCCACCGGTGTATATACAAAAGTCCACTGTAGTGTTAATCCAAAGTGCTGGAAAGGTAAGTCCACAAAGGTAACTCCACTATTCCAGTTTGCAGGTGATCACCACTTGGTCGTAATGAGAGCAACGACCATGCTTGTTTGACATGCTGCCTCCTTTATGCTGTCCATTTCCTACTTCCTGTCATGTGATCAGTCACATGACAGGCAGACCCAAACTCATTTAAAGACATACTCACATTAAAATGGTTAAGAGGAATAAAATGGCTAAGACAACATGAAAACCTATTAAAACTCAAATATACATAAAATAATAAAAAGTATATTGAGCAGGTTAAAACGTGTCCTGTGTGACAGTGTGACATAGTCCCCCCCCCCTTAGTCTATGACTCCCGGGGGAAGGAACTAGCCCTTTAAGGTCCTGTCAGCCATTGTCCCTGTGGTAGGTGTCCTCTTGAATGTGTGATTTAAAATGTCTTTGTAATAAATAAGGTAAAACTAGGCTTTGCCACACAGGCTCTAGTCTGCCGGAGGAATTTAGGCGAACACTAGAGAGAGGTTGAGTCCCATACCAGCCTAGGTGTCCTAAGGTAGGTGGCACCGATCCTCCCAGGATGACTTGCACCCAACCACGCTGGTCGGCCTGCCCCCCTGGCATTTCCTCCAAACCGGCTTGGGGTCTTTTTGATGGATGATGTTGATGCTGATGAACGGGGATGAGGTGGATGATGAGGTGGTTTCTTGGTAGGGTTGATGACAACACACTCCTTGGCCTCCTCACCACACGGCTTGCAGTCCCGGACAAATGCCAAGATATCACTGCGGACTGAGGGCCACCAGGCAACTTCCAGGATCTGCAGAAGGGTCTTTAGACGCCCATGGTGTTTCTCTGGTGGAAGTGCTGGACCAGGTTCTTAGGAACGTCGAGCTGGATCTTGTAGACGTCGTCCCCCTTCTGGATCCGCCGGTAAAGCAAGCCCTGGTGCTCCTGCACTTCGATCCTGTTGGTCGCTGGAGTGGAGAGAGAGATGGAAAGTCCCTGGAGAGTGCCGTCATCACCCTGCGCGCTGCCGAGTTGCTCTCTGGAGAAGGGGAGGATGGAGAAGCTGTGGTTGAATTCTGGCCCAGCTGGAGTGGTGGCGCAGAATTCTCCATCGGTCGCTCTGTTGGTTGTCCATGAAGTGGTAGATGTGCAGGGATGGTTGTCTGGAGGAAAGCCAGGGGTTGACGTGGGCGGCACTGGGCTGGTCGTCGCAGTGGCAGGAGAGATAGTGGCTTCTGGAGCCTTTGTCTGCTTCAGCTGTTTCGCCCATTTCTTGTCTCTCCTCTTAAAACAGTCAATGACCTCTCTCTCTAGTGTCGCCACGGCATCCTTGATAGATTCCTCCACTTTTTCAAATTTAAAATCCACACCCTCTCTAAAACACACTTCACGGTTAAGATTACTTCCAACAGAGTCTTTAAAATCCTTCTCCAAGTTTAAAACAATGTTTTTAAGAGCAACCAACTCAGCGCGAAGCTGTACACACTCACAGTGATGTAAAACCCGTTCATCATTAAAGCCAGCAGATGTATTAAAAGAAGCAGCATTAACTTGCTTTGTTGTCATCTTAAAACACTCTTCTCAACACAGCGTTAAAATTTTCAAACGTTCCCAGTACGGGCCACCATATTTAATGATCAGCCTTATTGGAAGATGTTACGTTTGTTAAAAAGGGGTCAGATTATACTATGTGAGAGCTTTGAGTGTTTAAAAGATGAGACAGACAACAATGTTAAAAGTGAAAATCAAATATGTATTTACAATATTCACAAGAGACTTAAAACAACACAAAACTAGAATAACTTAGGCTATTAACACTACAGCGGACTTTTGTATATACACCGGTGGACACTTTTGGGGACATTCACTTTGGGACTAGCAACACACTGGATTTCTTAAGGACAGTTTTAATGTTCAGTTGGTATGAAACTGAAAGACTCTGTACTTTTAACAGCCTAAGTTATTCTAGTTTTGTGTTGTTTTAAGTCTCTTGTGAATATTGTAAATACATATTTGATTTTCACTTTTAACATTGTTGTCTGTCTCATCTTTTAAACACTCAAAGCTCTCACATAGTATAATCTGACCCCTTTTTAACAAACGTAACATCTTCCAATAAGGCCGATCGTTACAAGCTTAATGTAATCATGTAATATGATGTAAATATTTTCAGGATAATTAATTTTTTTTCACCTGTTATGTTCAGAATAATAATAAAAAATAATATAATATACACTGTAAATACACAAAAATATACAACTTAATATAATGGCAAATGGAAAAAAACTTACGTTTTACATACATTTTCATCATAACAGACAAAAAGAAATGTAAGTAAAACTATTATCCAGATTCTTTTCTATTATCTTGTCTTTTACATTATATTTAGTTGTTAATTTAGTGTATTTACAGTGTACAGTATATTTTTTATACAATATAGTTAGATGTATAAACCTGAAGAGAAACAGAGGTATGTCATCTGCTGATTTCATACTGTCATAAAAATATAAGATATAAATAAAAAATAAATATTTATAAAAAAAGAACAGTCATTTATAGACTTATGCAAAATGGTCGAAGTTGAACATCCAGGTGAACATCTCATCTTGAATGCTTTAAAATGGCATTTAAAATAGTTGACACTTGACATTCTGTCTGATCTGTCTGTGGTGTTTTTTTCTCTTCAAGACCAAAGGAACTTATCCCTTTTCATCCCTTCTTTCCTGACGCATGGCCCAGTTACTGCAATTACTGCTTTGGGATCATCGTTCAGCTCAGGTCTCATGGCCATAGCACTAACCTAACACAACCCTTAATTGCAACACCACTCACAAGTTGCACTAACCCATTTACATCCCTTTTTGCAAATATTGTTGCTTTTACACCGCAATATCCAACTGTCCTGAGCACGTTCACAACATCCGGCGCGTGACGTCAAATAAATACGGTTGGGCAAAAAATTCCATGTTGTCTGATGATATATCAAAATCGTCTTCCATTGTGATGACCTGTACTTCTAAATATCTTTAGATCATTGCAGTGCCAGTGAACACGTCCGCAATCTCTCTGCACTGTGTAAATAACAAGCGGCAACCTTCCGGTCTCTCTTGTGAAACCAACACGGAAGTGACTAAAACTGCAATTCATCGACTGGACGCTAGAGGCTGGCTCCAAAAGGGAGTCAGTCCCATAGACTCCCCATGTTAAAATGCCTTTACATTTTTACATGGGGAGAAACAACTTTACAGCAGAAAAAAATATGTTTACAGCCTGGCACAAAAAGTGGTTTTGGTCTAAATAGCTCATTTTACCCTTCATGACAACTGTGAGGGGGATGAATTTTGACGCATCCGCCATTTTGGAACGTATCGCGTAGAAACAGTCACTAATGAGTAATCTACTTATATATATCTATGTCTACTATGCCAGAACATAGTTGGACATTGCGGTGGATCAGAGGTAAAAAATTATATAAATACTGTTCAGTTTCTTGCACAGACTGATCGTTTCTTCGTGTCTTAAGACCTCAATGTATCGTCACAAGCCGCAGGGTTTCATTTGGTTTTGTCTGTGTATGATTTTTTTTACTCTCAAAGCCGTGGAGCCCATTGACTGCCATTATATGACTGAAAGACTGCAACGGTTTGAGTTAAAAATCTTTGTTTGTGTTCTACTGAAGAAACAAAGTCACCTACATCTTGGATGCCCTGGGGGTAAGCAGATAAACGTCACATTTTCATTTTTGGGTGAACTATCCCTTTAAACACTTTTGAAAAAGTTCCAGACTGATATGCTTTTTCAGCTATCACAACCTAAAATACCGTGTTGCTTTTAATTTTATGTTGGTGGTCCATCAGTCATGCATATTATCTGTAAAGCACCATTTATGTCTCTGACCCTCTCTGATCTCTGATGGCCTATTTCTGATCCGCTCTTAGGGAAGTGAATGAATGAAGGAGGTAATCCAAGCACTCTGCTGTGATTTCTCTTATCCATCCAATCCCTTCATTTATATCAATTCTGAATATAGAAACAGTCATCATAATCCAGCAATTACATTAATAACACATTATAGTCTGTCATTTGTCCCTCTTTGAGCAGCAGAGTGAATGTAATCTGTATCTTGGTACGTGTTTATGTGCATGTGTGAAATAGAGAGCATGAGCATCTGTGGTGTTGTATGCTGTCTGAACCCTTGATTTGTTTGCATGGTATGTAGAATTTAAAACACTGATGTATAGCCTAATGAGAATTTTGTCTTAATTTAATTCAGTTTTGGTCACATTGATCTCCTTTGGATTGGTGTTTGCATGCAAGTATTGATCTCATGATGGTATTGGTTACAGAGTTTCAAATTGAGTCTAGCAGAACTTGATTTAAAATAAATTTTTAGTATATATTATATTACTTGCTGTACCAGTCCAGAAAACTAACAACTGAGAATGTCTTATTTTGTTTGTCTGTGTCTATACCAAATGTGATTAGTTGTCCTGAAAAGGGCCACTTAAAGGATCTACTGTCCTGCCTAGGTGTCCTGCTTTAACCTGGCCTTAACTGGTTTACTATGCCAACCAACACACTAATCAAGGTTGCATAATGTCACTGACAATGCCACCTGCAGTTGACTTTATCCAGTTGGTCTGTGCAGCTTTTCAGACATACAGACCCGGCTAACAGGAAATATTTCTCAGAACTTTGGCTAACGTTCTGGTTAGATTCTCTCAAAGTTATAAACAAACGTTATTTTTTATAACATTTGTCAAAGTTATCTAGTCTTTAATAATTTTCTTTAATACTCTTCAATTGTTCATGAAATGTTTTTTCTCCTGAAAATGTTTTAGTTGGATGTTTGTCTGTTTTTTTTTTTTTTTTATGTAACCACTTGCTTCAGAATGTTCAGCGAAAATTGTAAATTTATAGTGTTTGCAATGATAATATAGAATGTTCCCTTCATTTTTGGGAACATTCAGAAATAATGTTGTTATAACTTAGTGGGAATGTTAGCAAAACGTTCTCAGAACATATTTTTGTTAGCTAGGGATCAGAGGCTTTCAAACATTTGATGCCAACGAACCCCAAGTATATGAAGATCTTGCACCCCTTTGGCTCTGCTCTCGTTCAGATATTGTGTGCACACTCAAACTTTGTCCTTGCATCATTGATGACTTTTTTAATTAAGATGAAGTGCAGGCATATCCCACTAAATGGAAGCAAGCTGATTATAGTCAGCCTTCTCTATTTATTTATTTTATTATTTAATACTTATTTCAGTTAAGTGCTTATTGTAAATATGCATTTATTAGGTTATTTTATTTAGTGCATTTGTATTTTGTTGTTTTTGTATACAGTTATACAATAAAAGCCCCTGGTTCCAGAAATAAATCACTGAGGGTGCTTCTGAAATGAGTGAGGGTGCTCTATATAGTCTTAATGCACACATATTTTGTCCAATCCATTGCTGTATCTCAATCACTGCTATGTCGAGATTGAATCCCGCATAAATATGCGAATGTCATTCCCGAAACTTTGCAACGTGTGTGTGGCCGAAAAACAAAAGTTCTGCATTTTGAATGGATTAGAATACTCGCAAAGAGCGCTCACGTTATAATCACTAAAAAGCTGTCACTCTTTGTTCATTTCGATCTCTCAAAGTTCTGTTATGACCAATGAATCTCTCTATACACTGCGCAATCAATATGATTTACATTGTGTACTTCTATGTTATAATGAGAGGATTCGATTGTATAACTCGGCATGGAACAAAAACTGGTGTGTGTTGTAGCCTTTAGGTATGAGACAAAACCAGCATGTCATGAAGATGATGAAAGTGTTTTCATTTTAGTAGTCCCTTTAAGTATTTTTCTTCATTGAATATGTACAATTTCTCATGTGGTAACATCTAATTTATTTGACTTTATTCAACCCAAAAATATTAACTTAATCAACTTATACATTGATAAAATTAAATTTAAGGGTTAGATCTGGTAGAAATAGCTGTAAGACAACATTTGCAATCTACAATGTTTTATTTTACTTTTTTCTCATCATGCTCATTTTGAGGCCACCCCAGCCTGCACCTAAGCCCCCCACCCTTCCATTTTGTATGTCTCCCTAATCAGACACACCCAATTTACTTCTTGCAGTCTCTCTGATGAGTGGAATCAGGTGTGTTAGATAAGGGAGACATACAAAAGGTGCAGGGCAGGGGGGCCTCCAGGACAGGTTTGGGAACCACTGCTCTAGACAAGCCCAGGGTAAGGAAAGACCCGCTGCAGCTCATTGGGAGAGAGAAATGACGTCAAGGAAATCCTCACTGATAATGAGACCTTCAAATAACCATGAACTGGATTACCAGGGCAAACAGCACCAATCCTCGGTCGGGTGTGCTTATTTGAAAACAAAGAAGCCAAGAGCAATTAGACCTTGTTGAGCAGGTTTCTGCTGGATGGGACTGGATCTACTTTTGGAGCGTCCGATTTCGTCCGTTAATTCTTTGTTCAGTCACATTCACAGAAACAACCGTCGTTTAACCGAGTGTTTATCGTGGAATTGCACAAATGACCCTGCTGGCGAGCATGCGGCGCCACAGTATTCGCGTTCAGCATCA